TTCAGCTTAAGTTCGCAATTTAAAAGCCCTAACTTTAATTATTTGTATTTTTACAGATTTTTTTACGAAAGAAATCATATTTCGTCATCTCTTGTTTGGCTTACATTTGGAAATGTTCTGATCACGTTTTGAAATTAAATCTCTAAAGTAGTTTTACGAACTCATTACTCGTGTAGTATTTTTCGTTGGCGAATTTCGATACGGACATCATTAAGTTAAGAAAGAAATTGGTGTTCTAAGTAATGATTTCCAAAACGAATGGAGTTCCCAAAAGTGGTTGAAAAATGTTTATATCAGCTATTTCAGCCTGTGAAGGTCCGCCTCATGTAAACTTTAGTCAAAAGCGGTTTTATTAGCAAAGAGCTGGAATCATTAACTCAAATCCCCCTTTAGTAAATTACTTTGTTGTTTAGATTGCCTGCTTTAAAGTTTTGTTGAGAAAATCAAAAGTGCTTAAAGTGTGCCTAAGACAACAATTCACTTCCAATTACAAGGAGAACGCTAGAGTATCATTTTCACGTTACCGAGCTAGTGGTAGAGCTAGAAAGAAATTTCATAGAGTAGTCGTGCCAATCTAGTGACACAAACATGGGTTGCGTCTACGTCTCTAGAACCTGCACGCGTAACTTAACTTTCTAGCTTTTAAAGTATATATACAAAAATATATTTAACGCGTTTTGAAAGAATAGTTTTTTTTTCATGCATGGCTTTAATGAAATAAATTACAAACCATTGCGTTTTAGCTGTTTCGAGGTTTGGATATTTATAATATAATTTTAATCATTTTGTAAATAAATCAGTTTTTAAATATTTTAAGATTATTATTAAAAAAAACCCAGACCTCTAGCCATCGTAAAGCCAATTGTTTTAATTCTAAAAAAGGAGGCTAGAAACATCTTTAGTAATTTACTCTATAGGCTTTGGCGTAAAGGTTTTAAAAGTGTGTGGTAGTTTTCCGCTAAAATCAATTAACCATTTTAATTTACAACAAAAACCTAATTTTAAATTAGTTGCATAAAAATTATCAATATATTGCAAGGCAATAACTGTGTCCCAAAAGAGGAAAGGCATAAAAAAACATTATTATGATTCTTTTTGTTTTGCGCGTTTTTATCATGGGATTCGGCTTTTAATAAGAAATATTATTATACAACATTTACATATCGAATACAAATTTGTGAATTTTGTGCATTCTTTCAACTTTTACAAGTGTGACCGATATACATGGCGTGTGTAATTAACTTATGCACGTGCATTTTGTGTGTTGATTGGTTAAACAATTTCACAGTTTAAAATTCGTACACTTTCAGATTAAACCCTATTGATACTAGAACATATTGCCTACACATATAAAATAGCTTACATCCAACCGTTGACCATGGTATTATTGGTATAAAACTTTACATTTACCGGGTGTGCAATTTTTTTCATAGTTTTTTATATTATACAAATGCCGAAAATTATGGTAGCATTTTCATCATATCAATGAATAGTTCGTTCTTTTCCTTTTTTATCTAGGCCTCCGTTTCAGCGCCTTTTAAACGCAGACGGGCAAAGTCCTCAAAAATTATGTCATCGTCTTGTGCCTCGTCGTCGTCCAGCTGGATGAGATTTGTTGTAGTTGGCACATCCTGCCCGCCAGTCGCCGATTCATTTTCTCCAACGTCACTCATGCTCACTAACGGCAGACCCCCGCCTGCTAAACTAGACCTTGGCGATCGCTCTCCCAACAGCGGATGCTCTTCCTCCTCGGGCTTGGGGTGCATTAAAGTGAATGGCAGCTCAGCCACGAGGTCACCATTTAGTAGGGGTGAACTAATCAGCAACTTCACCTTCACCTTATAGTGCACCATAATACCGAGACTCTCTCGCTGGGCAGGATTGGTAATGAGAGTGCTAGACGCCAAGTTGGTGTCCTCATGCTTTAGCTGCCCGTCTAAAGCAAGGCCCCATTTATCCTTATTATTTGCCAACAGGGGGCACAACTCAAACACCTTCGACAGTGTAAATCCTGGAGCAACTTGACATCCGTCTTCTGACTCGATTTCGGCCACTACAGATTTATATTGAGCCGTCGAAAAGAGGCAAATATCCGCGAACTGCCGGACACATACCTTAATCTTTTTTACCGTCCGATTTGAGTTGTTGGCCACATGAACGTTAACCGATATTTTTTCACCGTGGTGGTACAGCTCCTTGTCCAAAGTAGCTTCCAAATGGATCTTATTTGGCTTCATCATAAACTCCTTGCTTACTTCGATCGATGGCTGCTCGCCGACTTTAGAGGGCGCGTACATGACTTTGCGAATAGTCAAACGCACCGAGTTCCGCTTGTGGGGCTTGTCCTCCACGTTCTCACCTATTAGGGATAAACATTATAAATATTGACATCAATCTATGATTCTTGAAGAAATGCCATGACGGTTGTATCCATATTTTAGCTGGGGTGTGTCAGTAGTCTGATTCGTTATAAAAATTCGTCATTGATGTTGAGTCTATCATGGATCGGAGTACACAAACTTTCATCACAAGCTTGGCGACAAGGAGTGGCATGTACATCTACACATACATATGCACATATATAGACGTCTTAATTTAAATATATATTCGGATGTTGTCAAATAAAATCGCTTTCCATTTAATTAATCATAAATGGCAATGTGTAAAAATACGCCTTTATACATACATATGTACACATATATAGTTGGTAATCCCAAAAACATAAACGCTAGGCACATTAGATACACAATTCAACAGACGCCAAGTAAATAAATATGCTGACTCAATCATGAGGAGAAGCAGAGAAGTACTGAGAAATCGTTTCTGCCAACTGTACAAATTCCCACATGGTTTTTTTATTTTTTAATAGTATTTGGAACTAGAGTAGATACAGAATAAATAAATCATAACTTTTTGTCTTAACTCTTATACTGGTAAAAGACCAAGAAGAACAACACACTCATCGCTGATTTTCTTATTCTGTTTATGCCAGTACGCAAATTGGCTGCCAAATAAGAATAAAATTTCAACAGAAACTATAAAACCACAAAAATGTGTAAACAAAATAAGCCAATAGATAATAATATTTATTTAACAGAGAATATAAGTGGGGGTATTAAGGGGGATCATGGGCAAGTAGTAGTATGCGAATGGAGCAACGGAAATATTCATGGAAAACTTTTCAGGAACCTAAAAACCTTCGTGCTGATCAAGCATTAATTTTTCACTTTATTTTTCTGTTTTTAAATAAAAAGTCTAAAATGTAAAATGAACAAATAATGTTGGCACACAAAACGTCAGACCGCCAACTGCGACGTCTGGTTAAGGCGAACAACAACATTAACTGCGATGCAACTTCGGTCGAGTCAAATTCCAATTAAAAGTGTCGAATTTCAATTAGGTGGACGCTGCGTCATCAGCCCGACGTAGTTGGATTGATTAACCCTGTGTTCCCGACCGCGTGATACACGCGCTAAATTGCACAAAACCACACATATTAGAAATTTACAGCACAACTTCTATAAAAAAAATTATTATTCTTATTCTTATTAATTTATTTTATTGTTTTTAAAACATTAATAGCACCCACAATTTGACTGCCCTTAAGGGAAAGGTAGCATTCAGGAAAATTGTTAAATATTTTGCAAAATATATTAAACGCAGTATGTGTGGGATACTACGTTCGAACAAATTCAATTTCTTTTTGAGATTGTTGCCTACACTAACTAGACTTGTCTGTAGCGACTGCTGCAATCGCTCATCAATGATTTTGCCTTTGTCTGACCGCCGTACATGGACACGCCCACAAGATCAGACCCATAAAGACTCACCCACAAAGGCTTTCAGCTCGTAGTCTACTCCGCAAGACTTTCCCACATCACCAGGAGCCGGCTGCAAGGACACCGAGGCTGGGCAATAGGGCGGAACCTCAAAATAAAACGGATGGGCGTTCGGTCCCAGCTTCTTAATCAACCTCTCCTGAAGCCGGGTCATCGGACGGTCCAGCTGCATGGGCGGATAGATCTGCTCATGCGCAAGATACAGATCCTTTCGGAACGTCAGTCCCAAAACATCCAGGTCTTCGCGTCCGTAGCGAAAGGCGGCAAGCACCTGGCCAAAAACCTTTCGGTCCTTTACGTACTCTGGATCAATGAACACAACGCCATCAATGGGATCCACGTGCGTGACATGGTCGACGAAGTCCCGTTTGCCAAGGTAAACCGTAATCTTGCCGTTGGACGAGCTCTTTTTAAACACGCGTGTCGCCTGGCGTCTGGAGCTGGCATCTCCTCCAGTCTCGTCGCCTGCGCTTCCGCCTCCAGTGCTCCCGGCAGCTGTCACATTGGTGCTGGAGCCATTGCTCCCATTTGCTCCTCCACCTCCCCCGTTCATCGTTAATTGACGGTTGTGCGACTTATTCTGCTTTTCTAGTGTTTCTGCCTAATTGTTTTCCGCACACACCGCTCCTCGTTTTTTAGGAACTCCGTTAAATAAATATATGTGTGCGTTGCGGGTGCTGTGCTGCAATTTAATTTTTTATGTGTATACTTGTTCCGCCATTTACCAGCACTGCTCGACAGACAATTGATAAATACCAACCAATATTAGATACTAAAATAAAATGCACAAATCTGGTATTTAATATTTAAATTCAGTCCAAACTAACCGATATTTCTCCGGTCTTGTTATATATCGTAACCTAGAATTAATAATTATTGGGCCCTCCTGGCACTTATTTCTATTTCCTGAATGTACCATGGCTCATACAAAATTTGTTTGAATGAATCTTGGCGATAACTGTGTCTTTTAAATATCTAGAATATTATAAATTCCTTCCATTGGTAAGAAACAGATGCTTGGTAGCTAAAAAAAATTCAATAATTTAAAAACCAACTACAATATTTTATATCTTGAAGATCTTTAACAAAAATGCTTAAGACTAAAAAACCCAAATATATATATAGACTGTTACAAGTATTTCTTTTTATTTTTCCTTACATTTTTATAATTTTTGTATGTCTATGTTCTTACAATAACATAATACGGAATGTAAACTATATGGTAGTGGGATATGGATATAAAAATAAGATTGAAGTGCCCAGAATATTTAAGTTAATCAACTCTAGCACCGATAGACCACAACGGTCATACTGTTCTTTTCCTCTTTTCCACGTGCATTTCATTGAACGAAACCACGCGTTGTTCGATCTGAAGTTGGCTTTGATAAATTTGACCAGAAAACATCGAAAAACTTGTTAAAATGGCTCAGAAGAAAGCCGTAGCCGCCAAGGGCAAGAAAGCAACGAATGGAGTGGCAAAGCCTTTGGCCAAACGGGTAACGAAGTCCATAAAGGTACAGGAAGAGAAGGAGACGGTAGTTGCCGAATCGCCTTCCAAAAAATCCAGAAAACAACCTGTAAAAGAGGTGCCGCAGTCCAGTGAAGAGGACGAATCTGATGTCGAGGAGCAGAGTGATGAGCAGGCAGAGGCCGATAGTGACTTTGAGGTAAGCTATTAGAAAAACGTGGTCTGGTGTATGGATACTATTTTCATTTAACATTACCTATCTACATAAGTATGTATATATAAATGTACATATACATATGCATGGAGAACAATCAATTATATATATATATATAAGCATGGAAAAGAATCCATTATGCCTTTATACCACGTGGTTGTAAAGATTTTATAATTTTAAGGGACTGGAAAGAGCCACCGACCCTCTGCTCGATACCAGCTCGGTTTATATTATATCGACTTAAAAATGATTGTCTAGAGAGGTGCCCTTCGATCAGTGGTTATAAAAAAATGTTCACTTTTCAGACCGAAGAGGCAGCTGATTTCATTGAGGACGAGGCTGAGGAAGATGAAGAAGACAATAGTGACGAAGAGGAAGGTGATGATGAGTTGGAGCCTGGTGAGGTTTCCAAAATCGAAGGCACGGATGAGGTCGAAGACTCAGACGGTGATGATGAAGCGCCCGTAGAAAAACCAGTTTCCAAGAAATCTGAAGTGTCGGAGGAAACAAGCGGAATTCCAAAAGTTAAAGTTGGCAAAATTCCCCCGGGAACGCCTCAAAACCAGATAATTTTTGTCAATAACCTTCCTGCCGGTAAAGTAACTTCTTTATTATATAAATTTATAATTATATTTATTGATATAAATATTTATTTATCCGCACAGAATATCTCCACAAGGACTTGGTCGCATTGTTTGCCAAGTTCGGACCACTTTCCGCTTTGCAGCGTTTCACTAATATGAATGGCAATAATTCAGTTTTAATTGCCTTTGGTACGTCAGATGGAGCGGAAGCTGTTCTGCAGGCCAAGCCTAAAGCGTTAACCCTTGGAGACCATGTTCTGTCTGTGTCCCAGCCGAGAAATAAGGAAGAGAACAATGAACGCACCGTGGTGGTTGGCCTGATTGGACCCAATGTTACCAAGGAGGACTTAAAGACCTTTTTTGAGAAGGTAGCTCCCGTGGAGGCGGTGACTTTTTCCGCTAACCGCCTAAACCCCAAAGCTTTTGTACGTTTGGCATCGGTCGATGACATACCGAAGGTTCTTAAACTGCACAGCACTGAGCTGTTTTCTCGCTTTATAACGGTTCGCCGGCCCTTGCAACAACAATCGATTTCAAGGACCAGTGAGCTTACACTGGTTGTCGAAAATGTTGGCAAACACGAGTCTTACAGCTCCGACACTTTAGAAAAGATATTCAAAAAATTTGGTGATGTTGAAGAAATTGACGTTGTATGCAGCAAGGGAGTTTTAGCTTTTGTCACGTTCAAGCAGTCAGATGCGGCCACAAAGGCTTTAGCCCAACTCGACGGAAAGACTGTTAATAAGGTTGAGTGGAAGGTTCACCGATTCGTACGCAGCAGCTCGGGGAGGGCCATTCTTGTGACGAACTTGACTTCAGGTGGGTTACCCATTTTCTAGTATTGATAACATTTTAAAATATTGATTAACTTGTACAATAATAAAAACAAATGCAAAAATTTTTATTAATTTCGTTGTAGGTGCCACTGAAGCCGACCTGCGGAAAGTGTTCAACGAGAGCGGCGAAATCGAGAGTATCAAAATGCTGGGCCAAAAAGCGGTAGTAAAGTTCAAAGACGATGACGGTTTCTGCAAATCATTCTTGGCTAATGAAAGCATTGTAAACAACGCCCCTATTTTTATCGAGCCAAACTCTCTGCTGAAGCATAGATTGTTAAGGAAACGCTTAGCTAGTGGCCATGCCCACGGCCCTCGCAAGTTTCAAAAGGACGCCAAGCCCAACTTTGGCAAAAAACCATTTAAGAAACGCCCGGCACAGGAGAATAATGGCAAATCGTTTGCGAAAAGGGCAAGATTTTAGAACTTGGATACCTAATCAGAATTAGTTTTAAGTTGCGCAGTACCATTAATACGGACACAGCCCCGATAATTCCATACAGCCTGATGTAATGGACTTAGTTGATAAGAGATACTCCATTAAATTTTACCGGAGAAATGCCGTATTTAAAACAGATGTCGATTTTTATAAGCATCGGACACGAAACTAAATAAAAATAAATCAACACTGAAAAAAGTTTGTATTCAACCTTTTAGTTTTGGGTAAATAGTTAAATATTAAAAAAAAAAAAACGATTTACTGCTTAAACGTATGCATTATATGCGCGCTCCTCAGTATATTCCTGATTTGTTTTTAAAGCAATCCATCCCCTATCTCTTGGAATTTAATGGCTTGAGCCGGCTTGTCTATTTATGATATTGTTGCCACTACGATGGGGTATTTGTAGTGTCAGTTTCCGGTTATTTATTAAATATCCACGGCAACTCGGTATGCAATAATTTTATTTTCTCGCTACAGCACCTCTCATCGCATTCAGGTTCACAACTCTTCCGGATGGCTGCCCAATATACAGTTACATTATTGTTCAAATGCACCATTTTTTGAACCTTTGTATAATAAATTTATTAGTAATACATTTTTGTAGTATTTTATAATTTTTTGTTTTCCTATTCATGCTCAGAAGTCTAATTTTGTTGTCTAACATATGTCTGTACGTTTGAAATTGTTTTTTTTTTTATAAATGTCAGTAGTATTTTTTTATATTTTTTATATGTAAATATGTATAAAAAAATCATCACCTGATTGAATGCAACGGATAGTAAGTTTAGCCAACCTAAAAGAAACAGATTCTGTCGATTAAGAATCGCCTAATCACTGTTTATAATCGAATAAGCTCGCTCAAGCTACAAAAACTGTGCTTGTGACGCATTTTTCAGTGGCTTACTGCTACGTTTTTGTTTGTTACATATAAGTCTCTGTCTCATGTTATATTCGACCTAGTTTTTTAAGAAATGTAATATAATTATCGTAATATAGCTTAGGTAGAAAATCACTAATAAGGCAAATTAAAGTGAAGGGCACTGTGCGGGATTTCTGGAAAACCATAATGCAAACTAACTGACTGTTTAAACTTGGCAAATTAAGTAGGTGCTCTCTTATCGTGCGTGTTACCCTGATGTACATTTAATTTATATATAGGCATATTTAAAGCCCTAGCAATAAAATCACTAATTTTATCTTTTTTTAGATTTACTTTTACAAAATCAGGCAAAATTGGCTTCTTGCATAATAAATTCGAGTTGGTGACGCTATCTTTCACATAGTTTATAAAATAATGCCTATATTAAAGTATACAAAAATAAAACAACTGAAAAGATAATTTTTTTAAATATTTCTGGTTAAGTTTTATATAATTGTAGTATTGTATTAAACACATACATAAATGGAGAGCGTATAGGAGTGTTAGGAATACATTCAGTTTTCTGATCCTTGTAGCATAATCAACAAATTATAAATAATAATACACTTTTAACTGAGTCACAAAAATTAGAAGCGAAACGAAATAAAATGTGAAATGGAAAACGTTTAAAATTATTTTTCAAATATGAGATTACACTGGGTAAGAGCTTTTTCTCGTTTAATTTCTGTACTGAACATGTTTATAGTGCTGCTCAATTTCCACGTTATTATATTTTTAGTCCAATTGAAATATAATGAGTTTTCAGTTGTGGGGTTACATTATAAAATTAAAGGTGCTGGAAAGTACAATGTAAGCACATCATTTTTTTGTAGATAGCAGTCTACAAGTTTCGCTGGTCAAATAACCTTGGTTTTCGTTGGATTAGTATTTATTGGATTTCAGTATTTTCTTTTTAGGACGCCGACTAAAAGGCTGGTTTAACTTGTATTTTCCTTTTTTTCTTGATCTTGCTACACAATGTTTTTTTTTTTTTTGTTTTATTCTCTTTTTTTTGTAGACTTGACAAGTGATATATATTTGTGTCACAAATTCTATTTAATACATTCATTTTTTTTTGATAAAGGACAAGTTGTAATTGTTTTTTTTCAGAGCTGACGCAATTTAATACAATTAAGAACGTGAGCCAAAATATATTGAAAACATTTCAAAAGTAAATATAAAATCTTGAAATAAAGGAACACTTGGTGACATTTATCTTTTGTTTTCGTTACAAAAAAGCACAAACATTAGTTCACTCTGCGTTCATTTACAATAGTTCATTATTGTTTTAAATAAAATAATATAATATGTAGCAAGAAATCGAGGGTGCAATCGTATATAAATAAGTACAATGAGCAGAAATTCCTGATTTGATTACCAGAATGCTATTGTATTCTTCGTTCTTCTGTATTCATCTTCTAAATTTGCTTCTGTTCGTTTTAAACACTTTTCCTTAATATGTTTTCAGTATTAATAAAGTAATTTTAGCTGTGTGATCTGGAATTTGGGATGAACATTAAAAGTCCAAAAGGGACACTTCAGTATTTTGGGCAGGGACATCTTGATCGTGAAACGGTTGCTCTTCAATTATCTTATCCTCTTCTGCAAGGCCGTTTCCGTTAAGCTTGACAACTTCCTTCGCAGTGTTCTGACCAGTAGTAGTTAGAGTACTTTTGGTAGATGGTGCTACCCCTTCCCTGCCATTCAAAGTAGAATTCCGAGCTTTTAATACAGTCGTCGATGATTTAGTGGCGTCATCTTTGGATTTCGGTGTCAGTGCCTTGGCTTTCCCTGGTGCTGCCTTTGATGGTGATGCCTTCCTGAGAGACGATGTGGTTGTAGTAGAAGAGCTTCCAGGAACCTGCAATCGTCGAGTTGTACTCCCATTGTTATTGGCTGAGCTAGCAGAATGCGTAAACTTAGGAGCTGGGCGAGCTGTGAAAGATTTTGTGATAGTTGCAGTAGTAGTGGAAGATGTGGTAGAGTTGATATTCTTGCCTAATCCATTGGCTTGATGCTTGGTAGGGCTACGAGTAGAAAGGGAAGGGGCACCTGTGCTAGGCACCTTCCGCACAGTGGTGGTGGTAGATATGGTGCTGCGCGGCGACAAAACTTTAGGCTTGACTTCAGCAGTCATTGTAGCCGCAGGGCGAACTTTTGATAACGCAGCGCTGCTAGGAGCAGATGATGTAGCATTTGTAACTGGTCGTCGAGCAGTTATCGAGGCTCCAGTTCCAGTTCCACTTGTTGCTGGTTTACGAAGTGTTGTCCTAGTTACATTACCAGATGTAGTTCCACTTCCAGTCGGCTTGTTGGTTATGGTTTTGGCCCCTAATGTTACCTTGCTCACAGGAGCTGTAGCTGGTCGTGTACTGCTTAGCTTGGTCGGTGGTTTTACTGTAGATGCTGCATTGCTGCTAAGTGACTTTCGAGGGTTTCCAGTTCCTGAAGATGTCAAAGTTTTTGGAGCTGTACTTGTAGTTTTGGTTCCAAGGCGGGCGGTACTTGCACGTGGAGCAGCTGACTTGTTTGCCCCGGAAGCAGAAGTAGAGCCCGGTGCAGTCTTCTTCATTACTGAGGTTGCTGCTTTCGGTTTAGCACTAGCTGCTGTCGATCCTGCTTTGGATGGGTTTCCCGCGGAATGGGTTTTGGTAGCACCAGCAACAGCACCTCCAACCACTGGAGCAACAGAAGTTACTTCAGACAAACTTTTCGCAACTTCAATATTTTTTTCCGCTTCTAAAATGTCTTCCAAAGGCTTAATACTTGAGATAACATTTTCATCAAACTGAGAAGTTATCGGTCCATCGGCAGCGGCTGACAATGGCTCCTCTGGGGCAGCAATGAGCAGGTTCTGTCCCAAAGGAGAAGGCAGCAATTGCTCATCTGAAGTACAAGGCAACAGTTTCTCCTTTGAAGCAGAAACAAGTGGTGTCTCCTCTGAAACAGCATGAGGCTGTTCATTTTCGGGTACACAGTCTTCACCAACGAAGATATTTTCAGTGGCAAGATTTTCATCCTGGGCAACGAAATCTCCAACAGCGTACAGCGGTTCCTCCTTGGCGATTACTTGTTGCTCATTTCTTTGATCCTCTGCTCCCTTTGTAGACGTACTCACGACTTTATCACATATAGCGATGTCCTGGGAAGCAGTTATAGACATATCTCCCAAACCCTCCTGCTGTGTTTCCAGATGAGCGGGCGTAAATGGCTGGGCAAACGGATTAATACCTTGCGGTGCAGGTGATTTTTCATCAAAGTTGTGAGTTTCACAACCGGAAACTGATTTAAGAGCAGCGTACTCCTCGTCGTTCTGAAAAATACAGCATATTAAGTGGCTTGAATGCTCCCTTTGTAGACGTACTCACGACTTTATCACATATAGCGAAGTCCTGGGAAGCAGTTATAGACATATCTCCCAAACCCTCCTGCTGTGTCTCCAGATGAGCGGGCGTAAATGGCTGGGCAAACGGATTAATACCTTGCGGTGCAGGTGATTTTTCATCAAAGTTGTGAGTTTCACAACCGGAAACTGATTTAAGAGCAGCGTACTCCTCGTCGTTCTGAAAAATACAGCAAATTAAGTGGCTTGAATGTTTACTAGTATAAGAGAAAGATTAGCAACGTTTAAAAATAAATCTTCTTCGGTGCTTCCACTTTATGTAGCTATTTCACATTGCAAAACCCATCAACGAAAATAAATTACACACTAATCGTATTAAAGAACACTACCGTTATATATGAAATGGAATGGAAATACTAAACTCTTAGTTTGAATAATAAAAATATTTATTTTATAAATGTATAAGTGGAGTATTCACCCTTTAAAAAAGGTACGGTGTTAAAATATCTCTGCGTGCTTTGATTCAAATTTTCCCAGAAAAGAGGAAACATTTTTGCACAAATTAAAGAGTTTCACCAGCCTGCTTTCTCACGCATCAAACATATGTTATTACTCCCCGCTGAATTTAAAGCATTTTCGACTTTTGGCACCCACATTTACTTCCAAGGTATGCCAATTATTATGACTTCAGCGGGTCAACATGAGTTGTGAAGTAACAAAGTAAGTAATTTTTAAAGTCAAGTGTAAAAAACTTTTCTTCTCAAATGTTGAAATCATAACTTTACCTCATTAAGAGGTGTTTTATTTGATTCTGTATGCACTAGATTCTAGACAATATATAATATCGGATTTCATTTTGATAAGCATGCGGTGACCATATTAATTATGTAGCCGCCATAGAACACTCGGAAAATGACTAGATAATTGATTTCAAAAATATTCAAGGTTAGTGGATTTCAATCATTCAAGCTCTTATTGGGTATACGCCAGCTTTTTCAAACATATTTTCGTAGTATTTTTTTGTTTTAATTTTATTGCAAGCCGATACTATCTTCCTTTTTTATTTTTGCAATTATACATTGTATAAAAGTATTTACGAATTGACTTCACAAGAGAATACATGCCTAAATGTACTGGTAAAAATAAACAACGGATAGGAATAAATTTAACAAAAACCATAAAGATGCTAATGGGAAAGGTCTCTGTAACTTTAAGTAGTGACATAGCGTTAGCCTTGGACTCTGCCACCGCAGGTGTCGTGGAAATGTGATGAATGGAAGGGCGGTGAAGGAACTTTTCCGCTATCACGCGAAGACTGTATCTCATCACCAAAAGCAGTGCGCTCTAAAACTCTAAAATGTCATTGACCAGTAAATGCCACCAGCGGGGGCAATTTGCCATCGGACGGGACTCGTTCCCAACTCTCTGTTGCTGTTTTCCACTTTTAGCTCACTCGCTCAATGGGCGGCTGACTTTCTTTTGCTACACTTAAAATATCTTGTCTTTTATGTATTATATACAAGCTTATTTAGTTATATTTTTGATTAAACTATTTTTATAAAACCATATCTAAGAAATTTGGGCATCCTAAAATAAAAAATTTTTTCTCTTAAAATAAATCATCGGCTTTTTTTTTATTGTATACTGCGAATAAGAGAGGAAGCTTAATTCGGCAAGACAAAAAAATTATGCATACCGAATAAGAACACTTTATAATAAAAAAAACCAACCTTATTTTTTCAAATATTTTCGTTCGATGTTAATCAAGTTAAAAGCGAAATTATTTTTTGTTAAAGAAATGGTATATACCGATTTAAAACACCGTATGATCAAAATTAAGGAAGCTTTGCTTTTCCTTGCTTTTCTTTTTAATTTTTTATTAATCTTTTCCTTTTGCAGTTAACCTCATTTTGACCACCACTCCACTCTCGGCTTGGACTGTTGCTCAAGCGTAATGGGGTTAAAAGTGAGCTGAAGCGAAAAAGACCAAAAGGCATAAAATACAAAACGGGGTTTAGACAGACTAAGCTCTTTAGCTTAGTTCACAATTATATTAGATATTTGTCATGACTCATCACCAAATTTACAAAATGGTCCAAGGTAAGGTGTTTTTTTAAATGTTTCAAAGTGGTGGGATTGTGAAGTCTCACGCTCAATTAGTTTTAATAATAGCGATAAAATGCCGGTAAATTTTTTTTCTTGACTTTTATGCTGCTTTTTAATTCTTTTACTCTCTTAAAAATATATATGACGTATACAATTCAAAGTCGAAAATCGTAAAAGAAATTTAAGTTAACAGTTTTTTAGGCCATGAAAAGAAAATATTTTCCGGCCCTATAATGTTTTTGATCAACATTCCAATTGTTTGGCGTAGTCTGTGTTAATGTATATCCATTTTAGTACTTGAAGAAACGGAAGAATGAAAGACTAGCAATGAGTAACTCACACACTACTTGCTCACTAGCTCGTACATGAGTGTATAAGAGCATGGCATTTGTGCTTGCCAAAAAGCTGCAAAGAGAACTTAACGATGACATCAACAATTTTGCGTAAGCAACCAAAACCAATACCAATTTGATGAATAAAATATATATAAAAAATAATAATAAAATGCTTAAAATTTTTCGTTTACTTCTTTAGGTATGTAAAAAGCCAAAGCGAAAAGAAAACATGTTTATGGTACAGACATCGAAATAACCACCAAACACTAACATAAAGTTTAACATATGGCGTAAATTTCTTTGAAGATCGATAAATAAATTAAAATTTAACTTGAAGTATACTTCGAATTTTAAAGTTCATATTAGAATTACAATAAATTAAGGTGTATGTATAAGTACATTTCCGAAAGTTTATAACAAATAACGTACGTATGTGTAACCCTGCCTCCCTTTTTAGCATTCAACGGCTCGTTAACAAATTAAAAGGGTATTGAGTAAGACTCAAATGGGAGTGCTATATAGCCATAGTGCCCAAATAGGGAATGCAATAACGACTTTCAGGGGTTTCTAAGCACATAAGCACAAAATCACTGTGGGCGGTAGTCCACGTAGTGACGAACAGGAGAGCTTGCAAAGGCGACTATATCTTTATGAATCCGATCTTATCGAGGTGGAATAACACAAGAATTTGATAAGAGAGGGGAACTTATAAAAGCTAGATTTATTAAAATTGTGGTAATAGGAGTTGTGGAGAATATCATCTACCACAAAAATAATAATATAACCGTTAAAAAGATATTAGCAAAGAATTTTAGTACTTTAAAACTAAAACTAAAAAAAAAAAAAAATTTCTTACGATCATAGCTTTTGAACAACGTACTAAAAATAAAAAAAAAAGTTTCTTCTGCGAGTTTCTCCCCTATGAACGAAAGTTATAAATGTTTTAAAGTTTTAGTTTATTTAACTTGAATATTTTATAACATTTTTCTCAAAATTATAAAAAAAACGTTTCTTCCGTGACTTTTTAAAAGTTGTTATTTTTGGTCTTTTTTCATTATTTAATACAAGTCCTATACATTAATGAAGTGTACATTATTATTGGGTGCTACTTTTCTTGTTTTAATATTTTCAATTTCATAGCTGATGAATGGGTATGTGATAGTCGTGGCACCTGACAACAGCTTTCCATTTTGATTCTCTCCTCATTTCTCAAAAAGAGAGAAAAATAATGTTATATACCATTCTCAATAAAGCGAGATAGACTACTTTGAATTTAAATTAGACGTGCTTGTGTGCGTGGTTTTATTACTGCGAACTTACTGATGAGTGTTCACGGCTTTGTAATTCCTATTTTTAAACTATCAAAAAGAGTATATAAATCAGAACAAAAGAAAAAAGGCTCTGAAAATGCATTTTGTGAGTCAGTAGTGACCAGCGATACATAGAATGATATTCCTATTACAAGTAAAAGAACTAATACATTTAAAATTATTTTATTATTTTTCGTATTCTATTCATTAAATATGCAGATTATTTACATATTATCTTAATATAATGTTACTTAACCACCAATATTTATATTTATAACAGGTTACCAAAAAAAAATTTTCAAAATCTTAGTTCTTTCTTCTTTTTCTGCAATGCCTCTCTATTTGTTTATGATCACTGCAGATTTTAATTTTTTTGTTTATATATAGAAATTACATTCACTCTCCTGGCGTGCTTCTTCTTGGACTGGCGTCCAGTGATATTTAAAGGGCGAAAACAATTTAATTAAAGAATTTCCATTTCTCACGTTTTGGTTAGGTACTGCCCCGGTATTTGGAATTACCAAAAAGCATTAATGTTATTAGGGAAACAGACAGGAATCAATGTACATTAAAGTAAGCATGCCATCAAATATATACATATAACGACAGACATTGTTCTACATACATTCGGGACATTCTACATTCAGGATTAACTTGTGACCAGATTTTTGTATCGTAATAGTATAACTCAAGAAATTGCCCCAAATCAAAAAAAAATTAGATGCCCTGAAAGGTAATCACAAATTAAAACGTTAATTATAAATATAAAATGGGAATATGGGTTTCCAACACTCTATCCCGTATAGCAGAGATTCCCGAGATCAAACAGACCGTCAGAGTGGACTAACCTATTGATCAAAAATTAAAAGTCTACGCAAAAACTGCAACTTATACTTTTAATTTTGGATAAATTGTACACTTACTGCTAAAAACAAGTTTAAAATATAAACATTTTCATCAAAAATCGAAATCAAAAGATTTCACATAACATTTTCATCTGTGAAAGCTTAAAAAATAACCATTGATGAATATTAAAATTAAAAAGAGAGAGATAAATACATTTAGAAAGCAACCGCACTACATTTGGATTCTCACATTAGAACGGAGTCGAGGCCATGAAATTGACTGGCTTTCTTGGCCAACTCGGACCTGGATTCTGACTATAAAACGAAATACTCAAAGCTAAGCCCCCTATTAAAATAAAAGCAGTAAGTTGCATGATGAATGAAAAAATGAGGACGGAAAATTGAAGGCAAACTAGCAAATTCATAAAACTGTGAAATGTGCGATACAAACAGAATGAGCAGCAACCGGCAACCATTTTTGCACAGACGGAAGAAATTGGTAATGGCCCAAGTGGTAATAAAACACCTGCAAAGTTTGTTGGCCAGCACACGAACATTGGTTTGGAAAATGAAAAAGAAACAGGAAGCAGTCCGTGGAAAATAAATGAAAAAAAGCAACGCTCTTATTCTTATTCGTTTTGTATTCTTTTCCATTGGCCCCAAGCATTAGAAAAAATGGACAGTGCCCTTGGGACAAATTTGAAGTCTAAACAAAAAAAATAAATTTACTTTGTCATATTCAGAAAACTGAATCAGTCAGTGGTTTATCATCCGTACATGGACAGTTCAGATTTCAATATCTTTTAATTAAAAGTATCTACAAATTTTAAACGCTTACAAATAAAATCCAACCATTATACATACGAAATATTGTAAAAATTTAATAACAATATTATTTTTTGCAACTAGGTTAGCAAATTCTAACTATATATTTTATATATTTCAAAGATATTTTCTATACGTTGAAATTTAGCGTGCAAAATTGTCGAATAAAATTATGTATTGAAATTATACAACTTTCTTTTAAAAACCAAAGACCACTTAAACGTTAAAATGTATATTAAAGTATCAAGTATCAATTAATATTGCCGACCAACAAAACTACAACGCCTTTCAATAACAAACACTCTTATATCAGCATTTCGGTTAACACTCCCTAAAGCAATGTGCCAAAGCACACCACACACTACCTCCAGCTAAGATTAAACTATAATTATATGCCAGGACCTGACGTGACATATGCTATAATTTGTTTCCCAGCTTCCACTACTGATCTCCGAATTCATTTCTCCATGCGTTGCAGGGGCAAAACACTTATTATGAAGTGACACAAATTTGGTACTTGGTAGAGCATTTTTGCATTTTAAATATACACATAGGCCAGAGGACAAGAAGGTAAGGAAGGCAGCCAAGCTATGAATCTTAGAAAATGCAATGTGAAACTGTGATCATCTAAATAATAACATAAATTGTTATTAAACAATTAACTACAAGCTGTTTTAAGGATTGTAAATATTGCATTTCAAAAACTTCTGTCGATTTACATTCACTGCAACTGCATGTACGAAATGTATGTAGTTAAATGTTTATTATGTCGAATATACCATTTTACGTATTAAATATGCTAACGTATGGAAATTGTATTCATTTAAATTACTTAAAAAAGGTTCAGAAAAATGTTAGGGAATTTTGTAAATTATTTTTTTTCTTATAGTTTTCCCCTGCAGTTCTTGACTGGAATTTACAGTCGCAAAAAGTGAGTCATTACTTAGGCGCGTGAACATATTTGCGCATGTCTTATTTTCATATAATGTTTTCAATCGCTTGATTAATGTCGGGGTTGTCTTTGATAAGGTGCGATTTAAAAACAACTTTGATCAGTGCAGCGGGAACAATGTTTAATGCTTATTTAAAATTACCTGTACAACAATATTTTTTCAAATTTTAACAAGATACCCGTTCTCGTGCAAACGAGAAAGTTCATCGGTTATTGATCCCGATCAAGAATATATTTACTTTATACTCTTCTTTTTATCTGTTACATATTTTGCAAGGAATAAAGTATAATCTTTACTACCTTTATACCAATCAAAACGTTTTTTTTTTTTTGTAAATTTTCAATGTATCAATAGTTATTGACGTTAAATAGATTTTATATACAAAAAAATTTCAAAATTTGGGAGTGGCAGTTTCAGGGTGTTCTAGCTGCTAAAGTGCTAGTGATAGATATTATGATTAAGATAATAATTTTCTATACAGTCAATGGAATAAGTAAAGGCAATAAACAAAAGCAAACAGCAATATTCGTTTCATACATACATATGTATATGTGCATGCACGCAAAAACCGTATGCACATGCATATGTACATATATGTAATGACCGCATTAAAAAATTCAAAGTTATCTATATCCTCTATTTTGATACTGCTTACAAAAACTTGCTGTATTTTTGTGCATCTCTGTTAGTAAAAGCAGCGTATATTGCGGTTCTAATTATGAAGGCGTGTCTGTGTGTGATCAAATATGCATACATATGCATTCAAGTTTCAATTAGGGACTTGCAACGAAGCGAAAAGACTGCTACTTCTTGCAGTAGTTGGCAACGCCATTACCTTTTTATTGTTGGTACTAGTAGTTTTGCAGATTGCAGACGAAAAGAGAAAGAGAGCTGTAGAGAGAGCAAAGGTCCATTCGAACTCAGCTTATAAAAATCTCAAAAAAGAACGAAAACCATACACAAAAAATATGAATTTCAGGTAATATAGTTTCTGAAACTGTTTCATTTTTTTTAATCTTTTTATGGAACACAGAAAACAATTTTTTACGATTTAGAACATTAGTATAAAGAAAGAAAAACCCTTTTACCAATTTTAATAAACTGTCAATCCAACCGTTTTAGTTGTCTAAAATAATAAAAGGACACATAAATAAATTTTGAAATTAAACGACAAAACACCAAATATACACAAAACTCAGTCCCTACAAAAACCCAATACCATATTCCTGTCAATGGAAAACACTAGCATGTCCTGTTGGTTGTAAAAATGGAGTACCCCTCATCCAACAACAAAAAGCAACCCCACCCAAATGCAACAAAGGGAGAGCGTAGGAGACAGCAATGTCGGCAGAGCAATGAGAGCGAGCCAAATGACGCACCCCAGGACAAAAATGAAAAATTTAAAGAGTACACCTCAATAATAAATAAATTAGAATTCAATTAAAACGATACAGAACTCATCAGAAAAAAAACATTTTTCGGCTCGTAATATACACGTACACACATACTAAGTATGTATTATTCTATTTTTAAATTATGTTATAAAAATTAACAATTTCTGTATTCAAATTCAGACATATTTAAAGTAATTTTGTTAATGGTGTCTGAAGGTAGAGTTGAAGTTTGACACTAAACTGCGCATGAAAAGTTAAAAATATGATACTAAATACCATTCTTTTAAAATATAATAAATATTTGATTTACATAAAAAAAAGGCCAAGAAGCACTTGAAAAATACTGAAAGAGCGTAAAGATGAGAGTTCGAGATTGCATGGAGTCCACTGTCGGGGTAGCGGAACATGTACATGCCAAACTCAAAGACAAAAGAGTATACCAAAAAATTTAATGATTAGTCGCAGAAACTTAGGATTTCAAATGAATAGCTTTTGTCCACATTTCTTATGTTTCATAGCTTACCTGTGGAGAATCTTCGGATGAAATAGCCCCAAAGAGATGGGATTCCGGATCCAACGTATACTCCCCAACTAGCTCCTTGGTGTCTTCAACCAGATGTTTCTCTGCAGTGGATGAAAGGGGCGAAGGTGTGATGTCTTCAATGTCAGCTTGCTGGGATTCCAGTACCAGTTTTGCCACAGGAGAGTCTGATTCAGAGCTAAACTGCGGTGCACTGGTGTCTAGCAACAAACTCTGGTCGGCAAAAATATCAGAGCACTCAGCGGGAAGCTGCTTTAGCTCCTGGTGGTCCTCTTGTGCCTTCTTAGAGGTATGTTGCAAGTAAAATGAAGCTTGCATTGGATCTCGCTGAATGTTATTGAACAACGTGTGCGAGTCCTGATTGTTTGGGAAATCTGAGTGAAACTGGAGCTCCTCTGTAGAAGGCGACTTCGAAACACGTTCTTTTTCCTCCACATGAATTAGTTCCTTGTCTTCAACTGTCTGAATGGGCAAAGGTTGCACGGAATTTAGGATATCTTCAATGGAGGCGTTGTGCTCGGCATAAATTGATTGTTTCATGATGTCGGCGCCGTCAGGCACCTGATCTAGCGGCAAGTCCATATCGACACTTGTCTCTGGACCATGATCCAAAACATCCCTTAAGGCTGCTGGCTCAGCGGTTCCTAAACCATTCAACAACTGCATCTCCAGGTTTCCTGCTCCAAAAATGTCGGATTCCTGCTCTAATTCGTGGGGTCGCATATCCGCTTCAATGTCAAATTCCCGTTCATCGGGCACGGCAATAGCATCCATATTGATCCTGGCGAATTCTTTGCGCGGACTTTCCGCCACCAGATCATCAAGGGGCCCCCCCGGTAGAAATTGGCGAGGCAGGGGATCTTCAGCAGCAGGAAGGGGAGATGATGGCTGTGAGCCAAAGGAAGGCACAAAGGCGACAGCATTGGGATTTAGCTGGGAGTGGTTCTCCTCCAGTTCCTTAACAAAATCGCAGTTTTCCTTGTTGTCGAAGCCCACTAACAGCTCATGACCAACTGGTTGGGTCGACATTACGACCTCCTCCTGATTTAAAGGTGAGGAATTGTTTTCACTGAGACTGCTGGTTCCATACGTAGTGGCCACGGAGCTGTGCTCATCCTCGTCTTCCTGACGGAGATCCTCGTGAACATCTTGCGATTGTAACTGCTGTTGCTCACGCTGCTCCCCCAACTGGTCTGGCTCCTGGGTCTGCTGGGCTACGACCTCGTCCGTTGAAGTAGTGGTGTTGGAATTTGTGGAGACGTCGCCATCGTTCTTGATCACTTCCACGTCCTCTTCGTAGACCAGATTGAAGCCAGCGGCAGCTCCGTTTCCGAGGAGTTGATTTTCAAAATCCCGTCCGGGTCCAAAACCATTGCCGGTTTCCTTTGTCAGGGGAAGCATTTCCTGTTGAAGCTTTTCACTCTGCTGCACCTCGTGTATGTACTTCCACTCCTCGTCTTCTTCCGCGTCGACTTCATCCGACTTTGAGGGCGCGATGCCAGGAGCAGAACAGTTCTCCCCAGTGGCGTCTGCCACATGAGAATTATGCTCTCCGGCGCCTCCGGAAATTTGCAGACATTCGGCCAGGCGGTTTTGCAAGTAGTTGTCCAATTGCGCGTTGTCCTCGTGGTGCTCCATCCTTTGGGATTTATCTGCAATAAAGTATTCGCCAACAGAAACAGGTATTGCCGTAGGGAGATGATTCAGATTGCTCGTGATTCACGCGCCACTGCGTTTTTTCTCGATTCCTCGTTTATTGGCGTTGCTGTTCTTGCAAATTTCTACACTCACACTAACACACTCACTCTCGCAACAAAAGAGAGACACAGTACAAGAACGGATAGGAGCACGATTTCTTTGCTTGTCCTTCCACTTCCTTCGCCTTGCCTTGCACTCCAAATATGCAACTTTTTGTCCTAATAAACACAGCTCACCGATTCGATTAGCCTTTTTATTTTTCTTTCACAGTTTTAATAAGTTCTTCCCGTTTTTGGTTTGCTCCGATTGCTCTTACTTTTGAATTGCTTGCCGACCGATTTTTGCGCACACCCACCCTGACGAAAAAACGAAATATGCATGCACCTGGGTTCAGCTAAAATACCGACAGCAGGTCGTTTTAAAAATACTGAATTGAGGTTTTTAGTATATCTAATAATTGGTCTTTTAATATTGCTAATGTTAATAATATCGATTGCTTCATTGGTATTTTTAGCTCGATTAATACTAATGGTCAGTTTTTTTGAATGGTCTGTCCTAAGTATTTCCGGGTATTCGATAGTTTGGTAATTCTAGCTATCGGTAGCTTAATTAATATAAACTACCCATATTTCTTACGAACGGTCTGTCCTCAGTATTTTTTCTTTTTTGGACTGGCATAATAACTATATATTTTATTTAAATAAGATCTTGCAAAATAATTCCAAATCGATTGACATTTTTTTGTATTACCAAATTTTTTGACAAATTACAATTACGAAATGATGCTAAAGAGTAAGCTTAGTTTTTTTGAGCAGAGAATAAAATAACTCGCATAATAATTCCATATCAATTGATATTCTAAATTAAAAATTTACTCGTAAAGTAATTTCCAATCGATTAATACTAACAGACCGTATTTTTTTACGAACGGTCTGTCCTCAGTATTTATACTTTTTTGGACTATCATAATTAATATAAATAAGAACTTGCAAAATAAATCCAAATCGATTGGCATTTTAGCCTTTATTTTTTGACAAATAACAATTACAATTTTAACACGCCCACTCCAACGCCTACAAACCGCAACAATCTGTCACGCCTACACTTCTAAAAGAGAGTGAATGTGCAAGAGAATATGCTATATTCGAGTTCCCCGACTATCAGATACCCGTTACTCAGCTAGTGGAATTGCAAACAACAATACCGGTAAGGATTGGGGTAAAAATAATAAATGCCAACATCATTTAAAAAACTGCATGCCTAATGTCAACTTTCTATCTTTTATAGTTCCTGAGATCTCAACGTTCATACGGACGTACAGACGGACATGGCCAGATCGACTCGGCTATTGATCCTGATGAAGAATACAGATGTATACTTTATATGGCCGGAAACGCTTCATTCTGCCTGAACAAAAAAATGTTAACACGAAGCGTACATATGTACAAAGCGCTTGCACTTCTTTTTCCCGAATATATATGTACATACATATGTACATACCTCCGCTCTAGTCAAGAACCGAAAAGCAACAGAAAGCAGATCAACTGCGTAGATTAGGTTCTACTTCAAAACGAGACGATAACTCTCTCTGCCACTGGCGACTTCGTCTCCCTTTCTAACTCTGCAGCGGACTTTCTAATCTTTCAATGAACAGCACACCTACAGCCCAAAAGCTGGTTATGGCAGAGGAAATCACCAAACACAAACACATAAACGAAACCTTTTTTTTCATTTTATACACCGAAACAAAAAAAACAATTTTGGTTCTAATTTATTTTCGTAATAAAAACGTAGTTTCACATATATAAGCGCTACCAAACAGCTAAACTTCTGATCATTTAAAAACAACTTACATTGGTATTAGCGAACTAACGGTAAAGTCAATTAAGTTGTTGTTGCTAATCTCAACGAAAGAAAAACAATATAGAATGCTATAGTCCACTTCCCAGACTACCCGTAACTCAGGTAACGGAAGTGCAAACGAGAAATTTTAAAATTTTTTGGAATATCGCTAAAATTGGGGAAAAAATAATAAATTGAAAAAAACACTTAAACATTTTTTAAAAGTGTGGGCGTGGCAAAAAGTTGCTTGCAAATCTATAAAAATTTACAAAATATATAAAAGTGAAAAATTACCACAAAATTTTTCAAAAGTGTGGGCGTGAGAGTTTTAGGCGGTTTGTGGGCGCAGTTGTGGTCAACGTTTAGAAACAAAATTGCGCTGCGTCTATGTCACTGGAAGTTGCATGCTTAATCTGAACATTCTAGCTTTTGTAGTTCTTGAGATCGAGGCGTTCATACGGACAGACGGACATGGCCAAATCGACTCGGCTATTGATCCTGATCAAGAATATTTGTATATACTTTATATGGTCGCAAACGTTTCCTTCTGCCTGTTACATATTTTTTAACGAATATAGTATAGCATTTTACTCTACGAGTAACAGGTATAATTAAAAAAAAAAAAAAATAAAAAAATTGTCTAAATTTTAATGCAGATTTTTATAGAATTGCTCCAGATATGCCACTTCAAATTTCGATTAAGATAGGTTGAGTTATGGACTTTAAAACTTCAGTCTTGGGACATTTTTAAATTCTTCAACATCATAACATCAGAAAAATTAAAAAAAAAGATGTAAAAAAAATAAATTTTCAAATTTGAATGCAATTTTTTAGAGAATAAGAGAAACATTGCGAACTATGCCACTTAAAAATCCGATTAAGATAAATTGAGTTATGGCCTTTAGAACTTCAGTGTTGGGACATTTTTAAACAACATCATAATATCAGAAAAATTACAAAAAAAATTTAGAAAAAATAAATTTTAAATTAGAATGCAGATTTTAGAGAATTGCTTCAGAAACATTTGGAACTATGTGATTTAAAAATCCGATTAAGATAAATTGAGGTATGGATTTTAGAACTGCGGTCTTAGGAGATTTTTGAATTTCTACAACATCAAAATATCAGAAAAATTTCAAAACAAATTAGTGAAAATAAATGTTCTATTTTAAATGCAGATTTTTATAAAATTGCTCCAGAAACATTTAGAGGTATGCCACTTCAAAATCCGATTAGAATAAGTTGAGTTATGGACTTTAGAACTTCAGTGGTGGGTCATTTTTAAATTTTGATAACATTATAACATCAGAAAAATTACAAAAAAAAATTTGAAAAAATACATTTTTTAAATTTGAATGTAATTTTTTAGAAAATTGCTCCAGAAACATTTAAAGGTATGCCACTTTAAAATCCGATTAGAATAAGTTGAGTTATGGACTTTAGAACTTCAGTGGTGGGTCATTTTTAAATTTTGATAACATTATAACATCAGAAAAATTACAAAAAAAAATGTGAAAAAATACATTTTTTAAATTTGAATGTAATTTTTTAGAAAATTGCTCCAGAAACATTTAAAGGTATGCCACTTTAAAATCCGATTAGGATAATTTGAGTTATGGACTTCAGAACTGCGGTCTTGGGAGTTTTTTGCATTTCTACAACATGAATACATCAGAAAAATTACAAAAAAAAAATTGTGAAAATAGATTTTCAAATTAAATTGCAGATTTTTAGAGAAATGCGCCAGAAACATTTAGAAGTATGCCACTTCAAAATCCGATTAGGATAAGTTGAGTTATGGATTTTAGAACTTCAGCCTTGGGACATGTTTTAACTTTTTTGAATTTCTACGATATCATCACATAAAAAAAATTACAAAAATATATAAAAAAAAATGTTCTAAATTTGAATGCAGGTTTTGAGAAAATTGCTCCAGAAACATTTAGAGGTATGCCACTTCAAAATCCGATTAGAATAAGTTGAGTTATGGACTTTAGAACTGCGGTCTTGAGAGATTTTTGAATTTCTACAACATCAAAACATCAGAAAACTTAAAAAAAAAATTAGTGACAATATAGTTTCTATATTGGATGCAGGTTTTTAGATAATTGCTCCAGAAATATTTAGAGGTATGCCACTTTAAAACCCGATTAAGATAAGTTGAGTTATTGACTTTAGAACTTCAGCCTTGGGAATTTTTTTAACTTTTTTAAATTTCTACAATATCAGAAAAATTACAAAAAAGTTTTGAAAAAATAAAATTCTAAATTTGAATGCAGATTGTTAGAAAATTGCACCAGAAACATTTAGAGGTATGCCACTATAAAATCCGATTAGGATAAGTTGAGTTATGGACTTTAGAAATTCAGCCTTGAGCCATTTTTAAATTTCTACAACATCATAACATCAGAAAAATTACAAAAAAAAATTGTGAAAATAAATTTTCAAATTTAAATGCAGATTTTTGGAGAATTGCGCCAGAAACATTTAGAGGTATGCCACTTCAAAATCCAATTAAATTAGGTTGAATTATGGACTTTAGAAATTCAGCCCTGAGCCATTTTTAAATTTCTACAACATCATAACATCAGAAAAATTACAAAAAAAAATGTGAAAATAAATTTTTTATATTTTGAATGCATATTTTTAGATAATTGCTCCAGAAACATTTAGAGGTATGCCACTACAAAATCCGATTAGAATAAGTTGAGTTATGGACTTTAGAACTGCGGTCTTGAGAGATTTTTGAATTTCTACAACATCATAACATCAGAAAAATTAAAAAAAAAAAATTGTGAAAATAGATTTTCAAATTAAATTGCAGATTTTTAGAGAAATGCGCCAGAAACATTTAGAAGTATGCCACTTCAAAATCCGATTAGGATAAGTTAAGTTATGGATTTTAGAACTTCAGCCTTGGGACATGTTTTAACTTTTTTGAATTTCTACAATATCACATAAAAAAAATTACAAAAATATTAAAAAAAAAAATTTCTAAATTTCAATGCAGATTTTTAGAAAATTGCTCCAGAAATATTTAGAGGCATGCCACTTTAAAACCCGATTAAGATAAGTTGAGTTATGGACTTTAGAATTTCAGCCTTGGGCCATTTTTGAAATTCTTTAACATCATAGCATCAGAAAAATTACAAAAAAATGTTGAAAAAATAAATTTCCAAATTTGAATGCAGTTTTATAGAGAATTGCTCCAGAAACATTTAAAGGTATGCCACTTCAAAATCCGATTAAGATAAATTGAGATATGGACTTTACAACTTCAGTCTTGGGGCAGTTTTGAATTTCTTCAACATCATAACATCAGAAAAATTACAAAAAAATGTTGAAAAAATAAATTTCCAAATTTTAATGCAGTTTTATGGGGAATTGCTCCAGAAACATTTAGAGGTATGCCACATCAAAATCCGATTAGAATAAGTTGAGTTATGGACTTTAGAACTGCGGTCTTGAGAGATTTTTGAATTTCTACATCATAACATCAGAAAAATTACAAAAAAAAAATTGTGAAAATAGATTTTCAAATTAAATTGCAGATTTTTAGAGAAATGCGCCAGAAACATTTAGAAGT